GTCAGTTGGAGCGTTTTATTGCCAGAAATACTGTGCTATGTTAACATCTAGCCTTGTGAATGGTGTTTTATACTTGCATCTCTCATCATCATCTGCTCTGTCCTCATAATTATGAAAAAATGAACCGGCTGTTATGTACCCCCTACCCCCTCCTTGCTTGTTAGAGAAGTAAACTGATGAGAGCACTGGATGAGGGTCTATCATCTATGGTCTGTTATAATTTGCTTTTTATGCAAATAGTGAGCAAAAATTAAAGCAAAACTGTACAAGTTACATACTATAGTACTATATCAGTACTATACACGAACTTTTATCGATAAATAATTTTGCGAGTTTTCATCCAATTCAATCATATATATGCACAAAATCTTGGCGGTAAGTTTCTCTTTACCATAAAATTTGACCGAATAAGTTTCAAAACAATGCGACGGCAAAAAATGCAAAAATCCTGATTTTCGTAATAGAATCTATAGTCTTTTTGCCCTGTTGTACCGCCATTTTGGATTTATCATGTAGGCCCCGCCTGCGCTAGGTATGCGTTAGCAATCTAGATCTCCTATATCTATGGTGCGGGCGCCATGCGTCCGCTTTGCGTCTGCGGGCGAGGACGCAGCTGAGAAAGAGTTCTCTTCGTAGATCGTCGGAAATTATCGCGTTGCGATTTTCATAAACAAACCGTGGGCGTCGGAAAATATTCATGTTAGCGATTTCTACGGAAGCCCAGAAGTGTAATTGCTATTTCCTATTTCCGTGTAGACTTTCCAAAGTCCTTTCCAGACCCTTCTATGGCGCGCTTCGCTTCCTACTCGCGACTTCGTCGCTCGGGTCGCGCCTTCTCTCCCCCGCGCCCTCCCTCCCCCATGGTCGACTTGTGGCAAGTCTAATTTCCGTGTTGAAAAAGTGGGTTCGCTGGCGACTATTTGGTTCGCTGGCGGGCTATTTCCTATTACCTATTGTATTAAAAAGCGTTATTGCTGTGTTCGCTCGCGCGCTATTTCCTATTACCTATTACCGTGTTTGCTATTGCTGTGTTTCCTATTTCCGGTATAAATTTACTATAAATATTATAGTATATCAATACTCTATATATCAAAGTCAGGTCTCTTTTAGTCGAAGCAAGGAAAGATTACGATAAATTTGTGCTTTTGGACGAGATTAATGTCTGTATTTCCCTTCAACACAGTCTTAATATTGTTACTAAAAATCTAAAACCTTAAATTATAAATTATAAATAAAGTTTAAATTATAAATAAGAACGCCAATTTTCAATTTTTATTTGTAAATAGTAGGATTTTAAGTTTTAACTAAGGTTTTCGATTTTTTTTAGTCACAATATTCACTACTCTATTGAAAGAGAAATATAGATATTAATCTTTCCTTGCTTTGACTAACGGTCAGTATAATCTGCAGACTGCCAAGTACAAAATGCAGAATAGGTATAAATTGCAGACTGAAATTACAGACTTGGTATAAAATACAGACTGAGTGAAAAAACATATATTTTAATATGTCATACTGTCATGAAGTTCAAATTATTTACAACTTCGAGTTTTGCGGTTCATTGTAGATGCATGTTAATGTATAAGCTTTGATACTTTATATAAAAAGATTTAGAATGATTTTCAAGATATTTTAGCTGAAAATTATTGCAAAATTTAAGCACAACAAAATCATAATATTACTGCTATAGTCAGGCGTAAGCGGGTTTAATACACAATTTGTTTTTTCTCAAACTTAAAAGTCATTCACTACACAAATTTATTTTTGTGATGGTTTGTTGTTTCTTTTAGTTTGTGTATCTACTTTTAGTTCAATATTCTTCTTTACTCTTTAGGTATTAAGTCTATTAAGTACGATTTAAAATGTCTTAATGTTGCTTATGTTTGCTATATTTAGCAGTTCCTCAACTCTCGTGACATAAAACTGACCGGCAGGTACAAAACGCAGGTTGCAGGTTGCAGGTTGGAATTTTGCAGGTTGGGAATTTTGCAGGTTGGAATTTTGCAGGTTGGGAATTTTGCAGGTTGGAATTTTGCAGGTTGGGAATTTTGCAGGTTGGAATTTTGCAGGTTGGGGATTTTGCAGGTTAGAATTTTGCAGGTTGACAGGAATTTTGCAGGTTGATGATGCAAACTGAAAATTATGCTACTATAAAGTATTCTAGTATAATTTTATTGTGTACTTATTGCAGTCTGACTCCTTGTTGCCGCTTTTGACACCAACCTATCCTGCTACCATGTTTCTAGCCTCTGCTCATCACCCTTGTGAAAACATCCAAAATGACCAGATTGGCTTGGATCTTCAGGGGGACGAATGTTTCGATTGTTGCGAGGAGCCTACATGACGTGGTGGCAGTTCAGAAAATGCCTGAATGAGTGTCTCTCCTCTGCACCCACTTATGAGACCACTCAAGCCCCCAATTACCGTATCTTTACTCAAGAGTTAGTTAATCATGTAGGCACCTCGCAACAATCAAAACATTCATCTAGGGGCGTAGGAAGCTTCTAAAAGTTGGGGGGGGGAGGCTTTGAGGGGCACTTTCCGAATAAAAAAGGGCATCTAAAATTTTTTTCCCGGAAATGTTGGCGACGGGGGGGAGGTCTCAAAAAATTTTTCCGGACATACCAAAAAAAAATTTTCCGGATATATCCAATTTTCCTAAATATGAAAAAAAATTTCAGGAAATACCAAAAAAATTTTCGGACATATCATATTTTTTCCCGGAAATGAAAAAAATATTCCGGAAAATAACATAAATTCAAGTTTCGAAAAGTGCGCTTTGGGCAAAAAAAGGCAATCCTTAAAACATTTTTAACGCAAAAAAAGGGCACTTTGCTCCCGGAAAAAGGGCACTTAGCAAAACTTGGGGGGCCTGGCCCCCTGCCCCCCCGGTTCCTACGTCCCTGCATTCGTCTCCCTGTAGGTCCAAGCCAATCTGGTCATTTTGAATATAACCTGAGTATCAGGCTCTATTTTACAAATAGAGCCTGACACAAAACTTAACCTGATCGCTTTCCGCCCACAGCAAAGTTTATATTTAGTATCCAATCAAAATGTCGCAGGAGAAATTTAAATTTCACACAACGACAACAACAATCTAATTATAGCATAGGCGCCCACCAAACGGCTGAATTTAAATTACTGTAAAACTGCAATGAACTTATAAAATTAACAAAAATAATCACAAATTAGCGAAATATATTGCAAATGTAGCTTATATTAAATCGCCACCCGATTGCTCTCTCCTCCGCAGAGGTTTCAGTGACTACAATGAGCTTTACATGGCGCTTGCCGTATTTATCAACAAACAGTGACGTATAACTATAAAGTATATATATATATATATATATATATATATATATATATATATATATATATATATATATATATATATATATATATATATATATATATATATATATATATATATATATAAAATATACATATATAGATATGCAATCTGATGGCGATTTAATATAAGTTACATTTGCAATATATTTCGCTAATTTGCGATTATTTTCTAATTTTACTGCAGTTTTAATTTAAATTCAGCCGTTTAGTGGGCCGGCTATAATTGTAGTTGTGATCGTTATAAAATATATCAACAACAATAGTATAATCTAATTAGCACCAGCCAATCAAATGACAGATTTAAAAATCGTTTGTCTAATCGGCCAATCAGCGCTCAGTCCAGATTCTGGACTGAACAACCAGGCAAAATGCCACTTTTGTGTCAGGCCGTACTTTTCTCCCCTTCGCCCACGATCAGGCGTGCCTGTGCCCTAAAAAGTACGGCCTGATACTCAGGTTATTTTGAATATTTTCACGGGAGTGATGGCCACTAGCCTTAGAGCAGAGGCGCCAACAAGGAGTCAGACTGCAATAAATGCACAACTAAATTATACTAGAATACTAAAAAAGTGGTGTAATTTTGTTGCATTATCAACCTGCAAAGTTCCTGGCAACCTGCAAAATTCCAACCTGCAAAATTCGCAACCTGCAAAATTCCAACCTGCAACCTGCAACCTGCGTTTTGTACCTGCCGTAAAACTGACATTCGAGTCTTAGATTATATTTTGGTAAGGGACCGGTCATAAAGTAGAGGGGGGGGGTGGGCTATGAAAAATTGGGGGTGGGTCACTATTTTTCAACACGTCGAAAAGGGTGGGTCAGGAAAATTTATGCACTGCATTAGGAGTGGGTCAGGTAAAATTATTCACGTCTCACAATTTAATAAATAGCAAATAAAAACTTTTGCGAAATCTCTTTAACCTATTAACTTTATATATTAAACACAGGGGCGAAACTAGCCCCTTTTAATTAGGGGGGGTGTCTGGCAGAATTGCCCTGCCAAAACCAGTGATGCCCTGCCAAAAAGTACCAAAAAATTTTTTCCGGAAAAATTATTTTGGCGACCTCCCCGATCGAATATTGCCCCCGCCCGGTACGCCTATGTGCTATCATTTATTTATAAGAGACCTTTGATTGCCCTGCCAATCGGGACGATTCGTATTTTGGGGTGGTGTAACACCCCCCCACACCCCCCCCCCCTCAAGTTTCGCCCCTGATTAAACAACAGGAATTCACATTTGTATACAGTACATTGGGAAGTGTTCTAGTTACCGTAGTCTACTCAATGTCAGGGCCGTAGCAACCGGGGGGGCTGGGGGGCTGCAGCCCCCCCCCCAATAATTTGCTAATAATCATTCTTTTTTCAAAATCATGCAAACTTTATCATTTAATCTGTGACAAACTGCAAAGAATGAAGATATTACTCATACTCCAGATCGTTCCTCGCGTAGAAATTTTAGCTGAATTTCTGTCGCGCATTTTCAAGAAAATCCCACAAAATCTGCACATTTTTGATGAACTAATGATTTATTTTGTCTTTTGCGTGTTGGGTCTTGCGAAAGAAAACTCTGAAAATGCCATTTCAGACCATCTAGAGACTCCAGATTTTCGAAATTTTCTCAAATGTTCTGCCTTCATTTCCGCGCAACTGCCATTTACGACGAAAATTCCCGCCGCGCATTTATAATACTACAGTCTGGCCCATACTTTCCTGTAAATTTCGACATACTAAAACGCTGTTTTCTGACTATCAGAATTCTGTTAAATCTTCCCACAAAGTCCAGGAAATGGCATTTTAGAGACTCTAAATTTAAAAATTTCCTCGGGCCTTCGGGCCTTCGGCCCTCGCTTTCAGCCCTCCCCCCAATCGAAAAGAGCTTCCTACGGCCCTGAATGTACTGCCATGCATTATGTTTGGACATAGTTGAATTATGTTCAAGAGTCGGGCGGCGTGTTACAACATTTCAATCTCGGAGATTTTTCGGGGATTCTGACTAAACTAGTAAAGAATCGTGGTAAGCCAATGCTGCCAACGTACGCGCACCTATCTACATTACTGTACAGTACATTATCTACATGACGGGGGGGTCACTAAGATTTCTGCTCTAATCTAGGGGTGGGCCACCTCAATTTATTGTCACAATTTGGGGGTGGGTCACTGTAAACCAGTCTTTAAAAAATCAATTTTCATAGCCCACCCCCCCTCTACTTTATGACCGGTCCCTAAGTCGCATAATTTTGAAAACGGGTGTATATAACGTGTAGTTTCGTACGTTTTTTTCACTCAGTCTGTATTTTATACCAAGGTCCAAGTCTGTAATTTAATTCAGTCTGCAATTTATACCTATTCTGCATTTTGTACTTGGTCTGCAGATTATACGGGTCTTATACTGACCGTTAGTCAAAGCAAGGAAAGATTAATATCTATATTTCTCTTTCAACACAGTAGTGAATATTGTGACTAAAAAAATCGAAAACCTTAGTTAAAACTGATTAAAATCCTACTATTTACAAATAAAAATTGAAAATTGGCGTTCTTATTTATAATTTAAACTAAGGTTTTAGATTTTTAGTAACAATATTAAGACTGTGTTGAAGAGAAATACAGACATTGATCTCGTCCAAAAGCACAAATTTATCGTAATTTTTCCTTGCTTCGACTAAAAGAGACCTGACTTTGATATATAGAGTATTGATATACTATAATATTTATAGTAAATTTATACCGGAAATAGGAAACACAGCAATAGCAAACACGGTAATAGGTAAGGGGCGGACCATTAGAAAATGGGGGAGGGGGGGTGGCAATTTCAGAAAAAAAAATCGTGCAAGGTCAGTTCAGAGGAAAAAAAAATCTTGCAGAAACCCAGCGTGGAAAAAAATATCTTGCAAGTTATTAGACCAACATATATTTAGGTAAAGTTATAAACCTCAGAGAATAGTAAATCAATGGAAATATATAAACGTAAAAAATTATACATAATGTAGACTGTAGTTATATTAAACATACACATCTCAGTCTAAAATATTCAGTTGTACTGTCTTAAAATGACCTGTATTTAAAATATAAAGTTGATTTATATACAAACACTATATATTAACAAATAACAACATAAAATAACAAAAACAGAAAACTTTCACCATGTTATCAGTATCAGTTGAATATAAATGTTATCTTCCTTTTAATATCACAGCATGTTTATATGTAAAAGTGTTTTCAATTAGATATGGAGAATTTTATGAAGTATCTTTTTAAAGTTCTTCAACATCATTCTCAATGACCACAGAGTCATTGTCTGCCCTAGACTTGCCACAAGTCCGCCTCGGAACTTTTTCCAAATTTTTTTACAAGCTGGCAAGCTGAGAGGGATGCAAAGTTGAGGGCGGCGCGAGGAGGCGGACTTGTTTCGCCTGCACAGTTTTCAGTCTAATTAACTATTCTGGCGCGAAAACGTGAAATGTACATCTTCACATGTTTGCCAGGTATTAATTAATATGGGCGGTGTTATTTATATCTATTACTTAAGTATTTATACTTTATTACTCTCTGGACAATAGATATTGAAAATGATATAACACCAACGAAAACGTATTTAAGGGAGTATTTGTATTGAGTGTGGAAAAGACGTACTAACGCTGATACACGATGCAGATTATAATTCAACGGCACTTTTAAGTCTTTGGCGTGTGCGAATTTAGCCGGAGAGTTATCAAGCATAGTCTGTCGATCTTGCAGTGAAAAAAACGCCCGTTTAATTTCTAAAATTGACGCTGTAAGAGGACAATTTAATTTATTAAACTACAGAACACTTGGCTGAAAAACAATCTGAATCAGTTACAAAACGGGAGAGAAAGAAAGAAACCTCTTTCTCTGAGAGTTCAGGTGCATCTAAAAATCCCGTCAAGAGGCGGTTGTTTTTGCGCAAGAAAACTCTTCTCAAAGTTGCCAAGAACTCTCCAATAGGACCAATATATACCTGTGATCCCATTTCACAAACAAATTAATGAGCAAACGACGCAAACTGACGCTGTTCAAGTATCAGATGAATTTTCGTCAGTGAAGATATGTCATTAAATGTATATTTAATATACATTTATGAGCTATTTTTTATGACAAATAATATATCTTTGAACAAGTTATCCTCTGAACTACAACTGAGTGTACAATATATAAAAGAACAAAATAAGGACATGTTGAGCCTAAAACTGGCAAAAACGAAGAACACTGAGCCCGGACAAAATTTTACTGATTGTTATGCCGATAAACGTGCATGCATGTATAGACTATAGGAGTATAGGTGTCTTTGTTAACTCAGTTTAAAGACCATGTCAAGTCCGTAATTATACGCATCAGTTTTGCTCATAACAAAGGGGAACCCACAGATATATACATTGCCCAAATTTTGCATCTTTCGAACTTTTTGAATTGAATTATTATTGAAACGTACTCTAGTTTATATTCATTTACAATTGCGAACCAGAAAAGTGTTAGATATTCAGTTAGTATGTCTTACATTACAAATAGTTCACTGAAATGTAAATTTACATTTAATACGGACTTAAGTTCACTTAACATGGTCTTAGCTGTAACATTTTCCGTCTTCGTAACAAATAATTATTCGATATGACACTCATCGACAAACACAGCTCTAAGATTAAGAGAATCTTTAAGTTTTCCAGCAGTGCCTCGGGACTGGCAAATATCAAATTATATTAATTTAACATCTTGATTAACATCATCCCCTTCTTGCGAAGTAGTGTCGGCACCAATATGAATTGCTTCGATAGGCTCGATACCCCTTTTACGCAAAGATGCCACTTGATCTTGCATCCGTGATATCAAAGGACACGATACATACAGGATCCACGATACATCTTAATCTCCAACAGAATTCGTCCCAAATAATACGAAATCAAAAATGTTCGGAGCAATTTGGCAATTTCATGGCACAAACTCTTTCCCTATCCAGTCGGAGAACAAAAAAACACATCTTTACCCGTGAGATAAGCTTCGATCACTTCTTGTTGACCGTCTCGTAACGATTGGTATCCCACTTTGTCAAGACCATGTTGTATGCCTTCTTCTACTGAGTACATTTTATACTGTTTATATAAACACTGTCTTCTTTTTATACATGCATGTATACTTATCATTTGTAGACCCGGAGCGAGGGGGATTCGGCGTAGTATTTCCCGAAGTGATGATATTTTCCGAGGGGCTTTGCCCCGAGGAAAATATCATCACTATAATATTTTCAGATATTCAATAGTGATGGGCGATACCGAGTACTTGGTATTCGATACCAGCGATACCACAAACAGCGGTATCGGTATCGATTACTGACTTGGTATCGTTCGATACTTGCACCCTTTTTTAAACGACTTGTTTATTTCACTTCTTGGTTGAATAAGACTTAATGAACCACTAAAATAACTGTTAATATTTCAAATGTGGTGCGCCAAGTCATGTATAGAAAATATTTATTACGTTTCGGGCTTTTGGTTTTACTTATAGCTTTATTTAGGTTACATACAGTAATGTAAAATGTTTTTCCACTGACCGGCAAGTATCGAAAGTAGCCGATACTACCAATTTAAGTACTCACTTCCGGCATCGAAAATTGAAATTTTGTATTCATTTTGGTATCGAAGTAGGTATCGGTATCGGCCGATACCGATCTTAAAAGTATCGGTATCGGTATCGAATTAAAAATCCTGGTATCGCCCATCACTAATATTCAACATAAACAAAATGGCGTCATAGCTGAGTGAATTTAATCAGTTTTCGAGTGACGTCACCGGTGCATTTCTGCACCGGTGAATTGGCGGGAAACAGGCTGGAAAAGTCCTTTTCAACGAGGAACCCAAGCGGAACCGCGCGAAATAGAGTGACGTCATTTGAAAAGGACTTTGCGAAAGTCTATGTCTGCCCCATCACAATCCGAAGTTTCAACAACATGACAATCATCACCAGGCCCTTCAGTCACATTTATAATAGCATGAAGCTTTGCTCTTTTTGCCTGTCTTCTTTGTTGAATTTTGTTATGTGATGCTGTTTTCTTGTGTTTTTCAGCTGCCATCTCAACTTTTGCTTTCAAGGCAGTAACTTTTGTACTAACATGCTCAACAGCCTCTTGCAGCAGTGGTAGATGGTGTAAATAAAATTCATTTGGCTCTTGCCACTCTATGATTAAAAAGAAGTCAACATACATGCAGTTAAGCTTCAAAATAGCCTTAAGTTTATATAGAGCAAGTTTCTATAGACATTTATGATTTCCCTAGTTTAAATGCATATCAATTATATTTTAAGGCATGTATCCATAAAATTAATACCTTCTGAAATAGGTGGTTTCCTAATTTGACCTTCGCAAGCATGAAGGGCATTTATGGCAAATTTCTCAATTCTCACAAGCTCAATTTGGTATTTGCATAGTTTCTCATATATGTTGAGTGTAACACTGTCAGTCTGACTTGCAGCGATGGCCTCAGTCGCAGGAAATCTCTTCTGTATCTCTTGGATTTGACCATATATAGACTTATAGTACTCTGTCCATTCGTCAATTGCAGGTGACTCGCTGGTTGCTAAAAGCAACTTAATTCTGGTTGCCCTTTCCTGCCTGCACCAAAGTTCACAGTCTCTCAAACTCTTTGCAAATTTAAATCTTTCTTCAGCCATCTTCAACACAAACGAATTCGACAGAACCTGGCTTGGATTGCGGGGTCTATCATGCCATAAGTTTTTGTACTTGCTTTTTAAACCTGACGTTCCCACGACGACATTTCCCATTCCGTCGCGTGTGCCAAAGAAGTTTCTGAACGACTTTGGCAGTTTTACAATGACAGATTGACTTGACGTTTTATATGAACCACAAGCACTACCTGAAGGTGAATTTGTCTTTGCAGCGCCAGTTTCAATGCAAAATTGCTTATATTCGCGGATAAGTCGTCTAAATTCGAATTTTGTCATGAATGCAAACTCAGCATCATCGCCGTCCGTTACGTCTGCTAGGTGATCTATAGATTGTATGCCCATTTGTTCTAGTTCAAGCTGTTGTTTTTCAAGCGATATGCTTTTTAAAAAGCGGGTAAAATCAGAATCTGAGGTGGTGCCAACAACATTGTCATCAATGGCAGCCATCTTGTTCTTTTTGAAATACCTTCAGTAGATGAAGTACTTGCAGAGCCAACCAGAGGCGTAGGAAGGGGGAGGGGGGGCATGTGCCCCCCCAAATTTTTTTAAAGGACTAAAAGTGCCCTTTTTTGTGATAAAAAGTGCCCTTTTTGTGTTGAAAAGTGCCCATTTTTGTGAGGAAAAGTGCCCCTTTTGTAGAAGCTAATGTCGCTGTAAATACTAAATTAAAAAAATAGGTGCCGTTTTTGTGTGGAAATTTACAATTTTTTTTTAAAAATTAGGTCACAAACATAAATTTCGGTATGATACGACGGAAAATTTTCCTCAGGAGAAATTTCTCCCCCCTCCCCCGTCGACAACATTTCCGGGAAAAATTTTTTAGGTGCCCTTTCCGATAGTAATGTGCCCCTACAAGCCGGTGCCCCCCAAACTCCAGGTGCTTCCTACGCCCCTGGAGCCAACAGAGACTGCAGTACACGTATTATTTGATCGCTACCTGTTTTTCGCTGCGGAACATCATGAAAAGCAAATTTTATGGTTGATATATCTGTTAGAACTGGTAGAAAAGATGACTGTCCGAGGACGAACTATTCAAAACGAATTTAACAGTGCTATAAGCCTTAAACACATCAGAGTTTCACTTTGCAATCGAACAGTAAGTGAGACTCACGCTTTTCTTAATGAAAAAATATTAAGTACGACTAGTGAATCTTCACGTGTAAGGCTTGGTTCAATATCATGTCTCCTAGACGAGCTTCTGGTATTTGGCTGCATGGAATTCCACGTTGCGTTCGACCATTATTCATCAAAAAATACCACACTGAACTGCGCGAACGAGAGAAACTGCAAAAAACAATTCAAGGTGCTGGTTTTGTCTAAGAGTGGATTGCCCGTAGCATTGGGCTATTCCATTTAATATCCGTACCCCCCTGTCGAGGATACCTGGAATTCTTCAGGGGTAGAGTGTTTTGAGCTTGGAATTCTTAAGGGTAAAGGATTTTGAGTTTGGAATTCTTCAGGGGTACAGTGTTCTGAGCTTGGAATTCTTAAGGGGTAAAGGATTTTGAGTTTGGAATTCTTCAGGGGTACAGTGTTTTGAGCTTGGAATTCTTAAGGGGTAAAGGATTTTGAGTTTGGAATTCTTCAGGGGTACAGTGTTTTGAGCTTGGAATTCTTAAGGGGTAAAGGATTTTGAGTTTGGAATTCTTCAGGGGTACAGTGTTTTGAGCTTGGAATTCTTCAGGGGTACAGTGTTTTGAGCTTGGAATTCTTCAGGGGTACAGTGTTTTGAGTTTGGAATTCTTCAGGGGTACAGTGTTTTGAGTTTGGAATTCTTCAGGGGTACAGTGTTTTGAGCTTGGAATTCTTCAGGGGTACAGTGTTTTGAGCTTGGAATTCTTCAGGGGTACAGTGTTTTGAGCTTGGAATTCTTCAGGGGTACAGTGTTTTGAGTTTGGAATTCTTAAGGGGTAAATGATTTTGAGTTTGGAATTCTTCAGGGGTAGGGTGTTTTGAGCTTGGAATTCTTCAGGGGTAAAGTGTTTTGAGCTTGGAATTCTTCAGGGGTAAAGTGTTTTGAGTTTGGAATTCTTCAGGGGTAAAGGATTTTGAGCTTGGAATTCTTCAGGGGTAAAGAGGTTTGAGATCGAAATTTTTCAGAGTTTGGAATTCTTCAGGGGTAAAGTGTTTTGAGCTTGGAATTCTTCAGGGGTACAGTGTTTTGAGGTTGGAATTCTTCAGGGGTAGGGTGTTTTGAGTTTGGAATTCTTCAGGGGTAGAGTGTTTTGAGCTTGGAATTCTTCAGGGGTAAAGAGGTTTGAGATCGAAATCTTCAGGGGTTCAGTGTTTTGAGCTTGGAATTCTTCAGGGGTAAAGGATTTTGAGTTTGGAATTCTTCAGGGGTAGAGTGTTTTGAGCTTGGAATTCTTCAGGGGTAAAGGATTTTGAGCTTGGAATTCTTCAGGGGTATAACTATGAAAAACATGTATCCTCGACAGGGGGGGTACGGATATTAAATGGAATAGCCCATTATAAAACAATATGTGAATATGAATAATATTTACTTGCTGATTGCTTCAAGCCTATTATTAGCCAAAACATGAAAATTATTTGAGAGTATTAAACTTACAATTACAATGTTATCTATCTGAATCATAAAATTGTTAACTCAATATATAGAATTGATTATAATATTAGCTTATCAGTTCAGTGCATATTTCTTGGTTTATAGCATGTAAATGGTTGACTTTAAATTAATATTTAACCCATTGGCATTGAGCTGGAATGTGCCCCAGTGCGCCCTACTTTTTTTCACCTGTCTAACGCCAGTGTCTTTACTCATGTCTAATCCTGCATATATGTGTGTCATATATTGTGCCTGTTTATGTGATAATGGCATGGCTGGACAGGAGGTTTTAATCCATGATGGTGTGTTTAATATATAGACGGAATACACCCCGCCTCTCCGCCTGGCAGGGATGATAGAGTGCTTGTATAAGAATTTCTCATCCTGGCAGATGCAATCCCGGCAACAAATAATGGGATCCTGCCTAGGCCAGAAAGAAGTAGAATAATTCACGTTACCGTAAACAGTCGATAGAGTTCATATTGCAAGCTAGATGAGATGGGGTGTTAACGGGATATTACACTAGGCCGTACATTGCATAAGCTGCATTGTGCCACAACTTTATTGTTTTACTCCGTATAATGTCAGATGATTTTACCTGTCAGTGCCATCACTCAACGGGTTACTGAAACAAGTAGCAC